ACACATGAGAAGATTCGATACATCAACTCAAGTAACTGGGATGTGTTCTATTGTCTTTCCCTTATAATTTCCTGTAAGTTTCATGTACAAATCAATATTCCTCACCTACTCCTAAATTCTTATGCAGCCATTCAATCTCTGGCAAACTTGTACCCCTAAAAGGATAAGGGAAAGGGTGGTTATCACATTCAGGGTTTATCAATAGTTATTTTACCACTAATGAATCATCTTTTCACATTTCTTTTATCTATGAAAAACCCTGTCCTAAAAGAAAAGAAGACTTACAAAACAGATAAGAATTAAATCCTAATGTGTGAAAAGAAAGTAGTGGCTCTTATAATAATCCTTATAATAATCGCATTTTACCACTTCAGGCCTGTGTTATTGTGGAATGGAACATGAAAAGTATTTAAATCCACTACTGTCAGACATTTGAGAACAGCTTACCTACAGAATTGTTCTGCAGCAATTTGTGCTTTCTTAGGCTGCAGCAAGATATCATCCTCACACATCTACAGAGACAAAGACTGGAAATGTAATCCATTAAGACAGTATTCAATATCTTTCAGTATATATAATGTATCTGGATTTCAGTAAGGCCTGTGATACTGCTAAAATATCCTTTCAGTCAGGATGAATGGAAGACAGTCTGGTGGATTGATATTTGTTAAATAACTATATCCAGAAAGTATTATGATTGATTTAGAGTGTGGTTTATTCATGGTGTGTCACAGGGCTCCATTTTTAATCCTATCCTGTTCTACATTTTCAATCTTCCTATTTTTAAACATCACATATAAAGACACAGAAAGTTCTTCACATTTTATTGTTTACATGGAGCTGGGAAAGATAGCTAATAATTTGAATGGCATCAGAATCTAAATTTTAAAATCTCAAAAGGTTGGAGCAATAGACTGAATCTATTATCTATTAATGGAGATCAATGCAAAATTCTCTTAACCAAGGCTTAAAAAAATTACAAAAGATATGCCTTAGTGGTAGTTTAATTGAAAAAAAGTAAGGGGTTTAGTTGAATGGAGCTCAACATGGCAGTGTGATGAGGCAGCTGAAAAAATGTTAATGTAATTGTAGGAAATGAAAAGATATCTAGTGCTTAGGAAAGGGGGAGTAATATTTCTACTACACTCTGCACTAATTAGATCACTCTTGTAGAGTTGTGTCATGCTTAGTTTTGTATGCTACATTAGAAGAAAGATATTTTCACATGGGACATTGTCCAAAAAAAAGGACAATCTAGGATCCCAAGGGGTCTGAAAGTGTTGAAGTAACTGGGAATGTTTAACCTGGAGAAGAATAATTTGATGGAGGAATAAGATATGGTTGTTTTAAAACATTCAAAAGACTTTCGTATTAAAGAAGAATTAGCTATTTTTCATAGCTACGTGGGGCAGAATTAGTTGGATATTACAGGGAGGTAAATTGTGGCTTATTTCAAAGGAATACTCTCCAATTTCATTCCATTCTATAAAAATTTATTGAGCTATGTATGAGCTAAGTGACACATTGATTCATTCGAAAAGTATTTAATAAGCACTTAGAGGCTTGTGCTAGGTGAAGGCTGTTCTCAATAATGTTTTATGGAATACAACATTTAAAGACAGATAAATATATGATAATTTACGGATACATTAAGCTAAGCATTATGGAGAATACAAAGTATATACAAATGTAACACATACTCAAGAGCTACTCATACCCAAATCCAAAGACAAGTAGAGTTCCTAGAGTGGGGCTGCTTTGCTGTTGTTGTTCAATCCTTTTCAGTTGTGTACTGTTTCTTGGGAATTGGTCTATGGAAGTTCAAAGAAGCTCACCACCAGAAGGCTGGTGGCCTGATTTTGTGTTTGTGTGTGTAGGACCACCTCATGATGACTACTTATCAAGGTAGAGAGATTTCTATGGTCAATGGAGAATGTGCCTACATTGATTAAATCAGAAATCTTCTAAAGTATTGAAGTTGTATTATTGCTCACTCCTTTCAGTCCTGTCTGACTCTTTGCGACCCCATTGGGGTTTTCTTAGCAAAGATACTGGAGTAGTTTGCCATTTCCTTCTCCAGCTCATTTTACAGATGAGGAACGAAGGAAAACAGGGTTAAGTGACTTGCCCAGGATCACACAGCTAGTAAATGTCTATGGCCAGATTTGAACTCAGGAAAATGAGTCTTCCAGACTGAGGTCTGGCATTCTATACCTACCCATATTTGAGTTGTATTAGCTTATTGTTAAGCACATAATGGGTGATCAGTAAGTATTTGTTAAATAGGTGCATAATTGCAGGTTATTTGCCACCATTAAATTCACATTTTTGGGGGGAGATCTGGGTATATGATGGTGATAATAATGCTAGCTAGAATTTATATAGTGCTTTAACATTTACGTGCTTGGCATTTTATTTGATCCTGACAACAACTCTATGAGGTAGCTGCTATTATTATCCCTATTTTACAGATGAGGAAACTGAATTTAGTGATTTGCCCAGAGTCACACTGCCAGTAATATAAAGAACTTGTGTGGGACAACCATTGGTAAGATGACAGAAGAAACAGTTCACTTCAGAGCATGGATTCAAACATTACAATATAGTGTCTGGAATTTCTTTATATAGAGGAACATATATTTTTTAATGTTTATTTTTAAAATCATTCTTATTTTGTATATTAACTTATATAGTCAAGCAAAGCAAATTTACATATTGGCCAAAGAAGATAGAGTTAGAGCTGAAAGGAACTTTAGAAGGAATCTGGCATCTAGCTCAATCCTCTCATCTTACACATGAGAACTGAGGTTCAAGGAACTTAAGTGACTTGCAACATAGTAGGCCCTTAATAAATGTTTAGTGAATGAGTGAATGAATGCTGAACAACGTAGATCAGTTTTGAGCAAAAAGCATCATAGGCATGTGAGGATGAAGTATCAGCAGCTGAAAGCAAGGGAGGTCAAGTTTAGCAAACAGGACAGTCACTAAAATGGCAGTGGATTATATGTGCCAATTCTATGAAGGGATTTAGATAGTAGCATCAACATTAACAGCAACAGCAAACATTTATTAAGGACTTCTTTGTAGAATAACTCTATGCACTGTGGAAGGTCCAACCCCTCCCCTCAGGATTTCTGGAACTAATCAGTAGTTCTGAAACAGGAGTTCTTAATCTAGGGTGTGTAAGTTTTTTAAAAAAATATTTTGGTAACAATATTTCTATATAATTGGTTTCCTTTGTAATTTTATTTATTTTATGTGTCTAAAAACATAATACTGAGAAAGCCTTCATAGACTTCACCAGCCTGCCAAAGGAGTCCATGACACCCAAAAAGTTAAGAACCCTAGATTCAGGTTTTGTTGTAAGTTAGTTGTTCTAGTCTACTGACAAATCAGAGAGTCTGCTCTTGCACTGGACTAATCTTGAAGATCTGTGAGACTCACTGTGTATTGTCATCCTTCTTGGGGCCCTGCTGATTGATAATACACTACTTCTGGCTCATCTTAGTGACCAAAGGAAAGCCATATAAAATCTTCTACTTATGGCATCCTGCTGCTCCTGTCCCCACCTCCCATCTTTCCTTCAGAGTGCAAAAATCAAATAAATATCATTGCTTCTGAAAAGGAGGCATCATTTCTTTGCTATGTGGTTCTACTCACTATCCCTGTGACTTTTCTGGTCATCCATCACTTTCCTATGCATGTTGCTTCCCCCTATTAAAAAGTACATTCCTTGAGAACAGAGGCTGACTTTTTTTTTTTATATCCCTAGCTCTTAGCATAATGCTTCAAATACAGTAAGAGCTTAATAAATACTTTTCCATTCATTCATGGTGATTTTGGGGCCTCCCAGGGAATATTAATAGCTGCTCAAAACTCTCAAGTAGTCTTAGAAATATTTTATTTTAACGTAAGTCAGCTTGACTTCTAAGCACACATCCATTTCAGTTACACTCTACATGAATAAGGGCATGGGGAAGGCCACACTTGGAAGCAGACACCCATGCAATAGCTAGTTTCTTTAACTTCTGCTCTCCTTACTATGCTGGCTTAGATTGGTAGCCCTAGAGAAACCATAGGGTCCTATAGTGCAGGCATGTGAGGGCTCAGTCTTTAAAAATGCTAATCATTCAGATATCCTGGCCAGCTATTTCTAGACACTTTCTACTATATAATCTGGGGAAAGAAGGAAAAGTAGCCCACTTTTCTCTACCCAGATAGTTCTCATTTCCTTTTTTTTCCTGGTAATGAATCCTCATCTTACCCTTTCTTGGCTGCTTTCTTATTGCAATCTGGCTCTCCTATTCTTGCTAAGGACAATGAGAGCTCTAAAATCTGCTTGCTTTGTGCTGGGAGGGTGTCAAAATAGCTTTAGCTCATTGATACCCAGGCAGGGAAACATGCATCAAATAGGGGAAAAAAGGCCCTTTATTCCCTCCTGGTTTAACTTTATTTTATCTCATATTTGAGAGACTTTCTCTGTCAAATATGAGATAAAATAAAATTAAACCAGGATTAGATAAAGGTCTTTTTTCCCCAATATTTTGAGAGAGAGAGAGAGAGAGAGAGAGAGAGAGAGAGAGAGAGAGAGAGAGAGAGAGAGAGAGAGAGTCTTCAACATTCTTTGGTTTAAAAAACTTGGCATTACTGTAATTTTCTTCATGGGGCTTTCATTTGTCACCATCTTCACGTTCAACGGAAATCAATCTGAATATCCTATTGTGAGTTTTTCTTTTTCCTTCTCACAGCCTTGAGTTACTATTGCCAAAATTTCAACCTAAACCTGAAAGACCCCCTCTCATTTCTTGCTTCCTTCCCCTCCCCCCAGCCATAAGAAGTCCTCCCCTGCCTAGCCCCATCAGGGATAAGGGCTGCAGTGTGCAGGGTGGGTGGTGCCTGCCCTACTCTGCTGACCCAGTGGCCTGAGCCAATCACAAAGAGGATTGGGCCCCTTGCTCCTCGATTCCATTCCCCCTCCCCATCTCCAGGCTCCTAGAAAGAGGGACAGAGGAGGGGTGGGGATTTCAGCTCTAATCCTTGCTCTTTGCCCGCCTCTTCTTCAAATAAGAAGCTGGAGCTGAAGTGCAGGGGCATTTTCTAAATCATAGGGCCAGGAAAATCAGGCAGATCTTCTCAGTTGTCTGAAGAGAGAGAGAGAGAGAGAGAGGAAGAAGAAGAAGAAAAAGGAGAATGGTGGAGGCTTTCTGTGCTACCTGGAAGCTGACTGACAGCCATAATTTTGATGAATACATGAAAGCACTAGGTAGGTAAAAGACAGGACTAACTCTTTCTGAAAACCACAGTATGTATGTGTGTGGTTTTCTGATTCCTTTTTCAACTGTTATGGTGGAAGTTTTTTTTTTTAAAGGCAGAACCCAGGTCTTCAATTCTGAGAATATGCTTTTTCCAGCAGATTAAAGGACCGAGATGATGTAAATGCAGCCTTTATTATCTCTCCCCTCGCTTCCTAAGCCTGAACTCTTCTGATTGGGTTGTGTTTACCACTTGAGACTAAAAAGAGTTTGCAGATATTTTGATTTTATCTTCTTTTCATCAGAGTTTCGGTTATTTTGGCAGATAAAATCATGTTACATGGCTAAATATCTGATTGTGCCTTAGGATGCCTTGATTTCCAAGATAAGCTTTGGGAGTGGGGGGGGTGGGAATGGGAGGAAATAGGAAAAACAAGGAAAGGCTTTGAAAGTTGTCTCTTAGTGCAAGCTCTCATTGGAAGCCCAATAGGTTTTAGTCTTGAGAGTGACTAGTATTGTTTCTCGTTGGTGCTGTAGGAGTGGGCTTTGCCACTAGGCAGGTGGGGAATGTGACTAAACCAACAGTGATAATCAGTCAAGAAGGGGACAAAGTGGTGATCAGAACTCAGAGTACCTTCAAGAACACAGAAATCAGCTTCCATTTGGGAGAAGAATTTGATGAAACAACTCCAGATGATAGGAACTGCAAAGTAAGTAATTCAACTTCTTCCCAGAAAAGGAAGAACCAGGGTGATGTTGTTAAAAGGGAAATTTAAGCTTTAGCATGTCAGGAAAATAACTTTTTCAAAAGGAGAGATAAAAAATGGAATGGACAGCCTTGGAAGTGGGAATTTCCCCATTATGGGAGTCTTCCAGAAGAGGCTGGATGACCTCTGGTCATCCATGTATCTCTCTCTCTCTCTCTCTCTCTCTTGTCCCCATCTATCTCTCTGAAATTCTTTTCAAGGTATGTGTTGAATTAGATACACGCTAAAGTATCAACTTTGAAATTCTGTGTTTAAAATCTCCTCATCTATTTCTTTCTGTGGGGGATTTCAATTCAGTGGTAAGGAGCCCTGAAAGAAGCCATTTTCTATTGGGAAGACTTCTGTCCTACTGCTGGTGCTTGGGGTGTTAGATCAACCTTGCTGATCCATAATCTATTTTCAGTTCTATCTCTAGTTCAAATTCACCCATTCCATTAAAGCTATATCCCATTCTTTCCCTTCATTTTCTACTTCAGCTGCATTCCTCAAACAATGCAAAGTCTGAAGTGTACACTGAAAAGAAGGGAGCATGCATTCCTCCTAACCTCTTTGAGAAGATTAGATGAGCAATACTATAAAATTTGTTTCATTTCAAGGCTTCATTTAAGTGCAAACGGCATAGAGACAAATGATTATTTGTTTTGGTATGAAATTTTAATTTCTGATAATGAAGGCATTGAATTTTGAACTAAGATATTCACTCTAATAAAATGATTAATAATAGAGAAGTTGTATAATTTGTGTTTTAATGATATAATTGTTATAGTTAATTATAATATAGCAATGGTGATACCAACCACAGAATGGGCTCTTACCATAAGGCCAGTCAGTTGTTCAAGTTGTTTTCACATAGATTTCCTTTAAAGAGAAATTAAGAACTGTGTCACTTCCTTCTAGGCTTAAATCTTAACCATTTTATTGTTGTCTTATTTCTGTTGTGTTTTTATTCTTCAGTCTGTTGTGAGCCTAGATGGCGACAAGCTAGTTCATGTTCAGAAATGGGATGGCAAAGAGACAAACTTTGTAAGAGAAATCAAGGATGGCAAAATGGTCATGGTGAGTAAGAACAATGCATTCTGCCTAGAATCATTTGGTTTATGATATGCAACATGAGTAGCAAAAACACATTAGTGTGTGTAAAAAGAAATTCTCCCATAACTACTGTTTGAAATGCAGGAGATAGGGTAGTATACGAGAAGTCAGTTGTGCTGTATATTAAGTATAGCAAATTTCCTCTTTTGGCAATTGTTACAATGTGTAAGAAAAAGGACTTTGGTAGAAAGGAGTGTCTAAACCTCAAATGAAATAAATAATGAACTATGAAAATATGAAAGAGATCGTAATCATTTTATAACTAGAAGAATAAGAAACTTCATAAATTAAATTTCAAAAACAAAAGTTTACATATCCAATTGATGAGTAGCAAGAAAATATTATCACTAATATATATTTAGAACATTTGTATGATTTTTAAAGTATTGATATTCAATATTTTCAGTAATGAAAAGATAAAAGTATATGCTAGCCAAATAAATGAAAACTAATTTTCAAACTTAATTTCCTCAACTAATTAAGTTGAACAGAAATGGTTTTTTAGTATAAAAAATGACATAATATTTTGACCCGCCTACTTTGGGAAACTTATTGTGTAATGTAGGGCAATGACATTTTGATGTCACTCATATATTTGAGGGAACTCATTCATTCTTTGCAGTTTTTTAAACATTAAAAAAAGAATCAGAAAAGAGTTCATTACATAAAGGTTTGTGCTATTTGAATAATAAGCTCTGAACACTCAAACCATCATTATTTTGCAATGAAATGCAAAAGCTCATTACCTTGCTGAGTGTAGAAGGTAAGGGAAAGGGAAAAGAAAAAAAAATGTACTAGGAACTAGATTTTTCCCCTTACCTAAGAGAGCATTTACCTAGAAAACATTAACCATAGACAGATAACATATTTGAGATCCCACTTCCCCTCCCACTCACCTCCAACTCCCAACCCCCACCATAGTAGCCTAGATTTATATAATGCTATTTAAGCAAAGTAGAAAACACTTCATATACACTGGCAAGCAATGCAATATCATCAGGTCCATTTCACACATTAGAAAATCGAAGTAATTTCCTGAACTGATCATGTAACTTGCCCAGAATGAATCAGGTAGTAAATGTTCACTCTTTTGACTCCAATTCCAATATGTTTCTCCCTCATACTTGTTTTAAATAAAGGTTCAACTGTGGTCAGTGATGAATTATAAACCAAATTTCAAGAAAACTAATCAAAGAAAAATTGATGGAAGACAATGACACACTGAAGTCATGCAGATGTCATGTTATTTGTACTTGTATGTGAAATGATAAATCGTAAAGGAAACAGTTTGGCAAAGCATATAAACACCAATTTTTTTTTATTTGACATCCATATGCTAGAAAATGCAGGTCAATAATTTGGACTACTTCGACCATATTTGTAGTCCTACCCCTGGATTCCACCATCAAATGCAAAGGATTGTACATTCACCTGGTGGATTTGTGTCCAGGTATTCCAAAGACTACATCTTTATTCAGATAAGTTTTGACTGGCTGTGTTCAAAATCTGCCAAAACTTCAGTGACACCAAACTTAGGAAATTATGCTTTGCAAACCAGTATAAGAGTTCTACATTCAGATGGTTTTTTTTCCTTTATGAAGAATGAATCCTAAACTACCACTAATTTCCTTACAGACAGCTGAAAAAAATCATCTAGATTCATCAGGCTCAGAGCTTAGGTTCCCTCAGTTAGACAGTATGATAAAAGGGACAGAGCAACAGAGTTGTCATCAGGGTGACCTAATTTCAAATCCTGCCTCAAACATTTTCTAGTGGTAATATTCAGTACAAGCTATTATTACTTTGATCATTTAAAGTGTAATTAAGTTTCCTGGTTTGACCTGGTTCTCCTGCCAAGATTTATCAATTCACTTTGTCCATAGAGACTTATAATATGTATATTAATGAAATATTTAGAACTATATATGATCTTTAAAAAAAAGTAGGAGAAACAATCCCTGAATATTCAGGCAAATTTTCAAGGATCTGAATTTTAAGGCTCCAGATAATTTAAGCTACAGTTTAAAATATTTAAAAAAAAACACCACTGATATGTTTTTTTCCTGAATTTAAAGACTTATTTATATTTTAATATTCTAGACTCTCAGCTTTGGAGATGTGGTGGCTGTTCGTCACTATGAGAAGGCATAAACAGCATCATGATGGTCCCCTGTCCAGATGAATACTCTAAGAAAAGTTTTTGTTTTTTTCTGTCACTCTGATATGAGTACCACCATACTACTGATGTGTATGCCACTGTGACCTGGAAGGTGATGAGCCTTTTAAAAATGCTGTTCAAGTCAGTTATCCCATTTGTTGTAAATTGAATACTTAGAAAAACTTTGCATGGTCTTGGAACCATATTTTTTACAAAAGAAAAATAAATAATTTTTTTTTGTGATTTGTGGGGGAAATTTAAGTCAAATAAAGATAACATGTTAGAAATACATGCAGCTTTGTGAATTAATGGAAGTACTTTGGCTGGGAGGTAGGCGTTAGGGAAGCTTATAATAAATTAGCCTTTTATAAGTTCTTAGAGTCTCTTTGTGCAGAATGCCAAAAAAAAAAGCCCAATTAAGTACACTGAAGCTTTGTTGTAACACTATTCTTAGAGTCAATGCCAAATTATAGATGAGAATATAATAAGGTACTTCTGAAAATTAGGCCCACTTTGCAGGGGACAAGACACACCTACTATCTTGGGTTGTTAAAACTATGCTTTAATACAGTCTAAAGAATCAAAATGAAATTTTCATATTTATAACCTATACAAAAATAAACTGGAATAGAGAGAAAACTTTTCAGTTAAGATTTAAATTTGAAAACCTTTTTTGTGTCATGGACTTCTTTGGCAGTCTGGTGAAGCCCAAGGATGCCTTCTCAGAACAATGTTTTTAAATGGATAAAATAAAATACATAGGGTTACAGAGGAAATCAGTTCAATTGAAATAACATCTGTCTGTCTATCTATCTATCTATCTACACATATATACATATGTATGTATCTATCTGTGTATATATAAACACACAAGTTCACAAACTCTTTTTAAAAAAAAATAACACTATCTGACCTGATTTCTAGAGCAAAAAAAAAATTGCAGGATTTTAATTTACTGTCCTTCTGATTTCTTAGGAAACTTCTGTGTGATCTGAAAAAAAAATATTTCCATTTCAATGAGTATAGCCACTCCAAATCCATTTAAATTTATATTTAGAAATATTTGAAAACTTTTATCTCAAAGTATTATGGATAGTCTTAGTAAGATGCTGAATTACTTTGGTGACAATGATGTCTAGTGGGATAATTTAAAAATCTGATAGATATCTTGAATTAACATGAATGAAAATAACTACATACAATCAATTTACTGTCTGGTGAGACAGAGACTGCCTGGGGAAGGAATCCCTACAGCTCTCCAAATACTGTGTTGGGACTCTGTTATAAGGCCTGAAATGAGTCAGTCAGATGATGTTTGCCATACCATATCCTGACATGTCATTTCTAAACCCTTCCTGAAAAATGATCAACTCAGATCTGTCTTATGATATGCTTATGTGTAATATTTGTTTCCCACCTCTTTTTATAGAGATGCAAAGCTGGCACTTGGGCTTCTTGAAATGGAGTTGGATTTTATAATAATGACAATGATTTCCATGACAATGGATGTATTTGTTTCATGGAGTAAAGGATGAAAACTTCTTTTCCCTCTTGGGGGACTGCTAAATGGGATGGAAAGAAAAGCTAAGCTAGAAAGGGTGGCATTGGTGACAGGATTTGAATTTAAAATAGCTAATGTTGGCAATTTTCCTGCTCTCTCTCCTTACATGCTATTACTAAGTACTTTCTTCCTCAAATCTTACCCTGTTTACATAGAAACAATGGCACACATTTATATAGCCCTTAACAATTTACAAAACACTTTCTCATAGCATCCTTGTGTATTCAGTAGTACATACTATGCCTAACAGCCAGAGTCCTGGAGACCCTTCTTCAGCTGCGCAGAGAGGCAGTGGAGGAGCTAGAGCAGCTGTAGCAGTGACTGTTACATCAGATTTATCAGAAATATTGGTCATGACAAGATGACTTGGGGCATTGTGTGCAATCCTTGGGTCCTCCTTGGACAATCCTTGGGCCAGAAGATTAGAGGCCTGGCTGTTCAGGGAAGTCATTTCCTATGGCTTAGCTGTGCCCTATGGCATTGCCTCAGTGCAGCTAGACCATAGGAGTGAGGTAATAGAGGAAGCAGGGACTGCTAACTTGAGGCCACTTTGGTCAGTGGATTACAGGCCTTGCTATCCATAGAAACGGAGAGGAGGCTGTCCTTTTAATGCCCTGTAAACTCATTGTTAAGAACTTTAAGGAAATTGGATCCCAACACCTTTTCAGATATGAATTATCTGTACTTACAGGTTAGAATTATAGTCCGTTATCTTTAGAGGAACATAAATCCATAATGAAGAAATAACTTAAAATTGGGAGGTAATAAACTAGGTTAGCCCACGTGCCCTTTTTTGTGGTATGGATGGTAAGATTCAGTTCGATTCACCTAACATTAAGCCCCTACTGTATGCAAAGCAATGTAAGTATAAAGCAAAGTGGGTAGAGGTCTAGTTTAGGAGTCAGGATGACCTGGGTTGTGTTGGCTGTGCGTCCATGGAAAATTATTTTAATCTTAGTGCTCCAGGCATTTCTTTTGGAGCATAAATTAAAGAGGACTTGCTGGTCTAGATTGGTGAGGAGAGTTTCCATACTGGGAATTACCCATATCAATGCAATGAGAGATCTAGACTGGGAAAAAAAAACAACCTATGCTTTGTTTTCATTCCACCGAAGGTGGCAAATTACTTTCCTAGGAATAATATAGTTTTCACAAGATGGTGAGTGTTTTATAGCGTCTCATCAGCACATTATGATTTTCCTTCTGACTGTTGTTTTTCCAGTATTTCCGTGTCTTATAAAAATATTTGTTCTTGGATCTCTTACGTAAAAGAATCTCTTAATAGAGTTTACTGTTTTGAGGTAAACATTCCCAGGACTCCCTAGCTTTCTTTGTAGCCTTTTTGAAGTTGTTCTGAATCCAAGCCATGTATTTTGTTCCTCTCTCAGAGATTAGCCTTTGGAAGCTCTTCTTTTCTTTTCCTCCCCCTCAGATTGTTAACGACTGAAAAATTGTCTTCTCAAATGTTGCAATCTCTGTTACCAAGACAAACTTAAAATTCTTTGTTTCTGTCTGATGTTGCTAATGTTAGACTCAGTGTTACCACCTGCAATTACTTTGGTTTACTTTTCTGCTTGTTTTATATATGTCTTTCTTTTGCTATGAATCCATTTTATTCAAAAGTAATAGTTTTCTTTTCGCGCTTGTTTCCTTTACCCAACACACTGAGGAGCTGAATAAGCTATGTGTATCCCTTTTCCCTAACATGATTCCTTGAGGCCAAGGTCACTCACTGCATCCTGGGCTAGTCATCTTGACTTTTGTCTTGCCATTGGACTTTGATGACTCTGGAGGAGACAGTGAGGCTGATGACTTTCAACAGCTCTGCCTCACTTAAATCCAGTTGCAAATCAAGACATCACCCTTGTGATGTCATTGGTTCTCTTTGAGAATGAAAAACAATATTATTATCCCCATTTTTAGACATGAGAAAACTGATTCTCAAAGAGTATGACTTACCTATAGTCACAAACCCAGTAAATGGGACAGAGGTAAGGAAAGAGACTCAGGACTTTAATCTAGTTATTCTACTTTTACTGACCTTTCTACCATACCACATTGTCTCTAAGCATGTCAAGAAGCTAATTTCTTTGTATGTTATTGATGTAGGTATTTACTGTAAGAACAGCAATGACAAATGGCAAATACCAAAGGCAAGTTGACATAGAAGTCATTTCTATGTCACCAAGGTCAAAAAGGTAAAGACTATACTAAAAATATGTGTTGCAACACAGAGCAGTCATTCCCTAATCCAGGCTACCGGAAGACAGGATACCATCTCGTGTTTGTTCTCGATAACAATTCAGCCACTGTCCCTCTAAACCCCCTGGAGAGAAATATAGATCTATAATTTATAAATGTGTGTACCATGAGTACGATTAGGTTAGATAGACAAGAGAGTTATAGACTGGTGAGTATGAAAGAGATAGGAAAGAAGCCACAGGATATTCTATACTATTTTAATTATGCATTTTATGGATGAATATTCATTTTGTACATATATACTGTGTCTCATAGATTTCAGGCAGTATTATATTGGCTTATCTCGGAGAATTGCACATGAAATAACATCCTCGATTTATTTCTAAATGACATTAATGATGGTTCAAAAGCCATCTATCCCAATTCAATCTTTTCTTCTCTATTTGTTTGTTTACTCTTCGGACTAGAATTTTAGCTATCAATCAATATATACTCCCTTATTTTGCTGCCCTGAAAATTGTCATTTATTTCTTTTCTCTCGCCTAGCCTTTATTGCTCAGATGTTTTCCCACACACACACCTTTAACTCCAAAGCTTCTTTTCTGAGCTGAGATTTTCTGAGTACCATTTTTACCTTATAGTGAGAAAGCAGTTTGGTACTTTTTATAATTTTGAATGTTGTTTCAGCATGTCCCTGGCTGGCCTTGAAACACAGGACTGTGAAGCTTTGGTTTCCCATTCAAAGCCCCATTCACTGGTCGCATACAATACTCATGAGATTACACAGAGGAAAAAAAAGAATGTTTTCCTTAGTGGGAAATGAATGCACTTTCCTGGAAGAGTTTTCTGACAGTAAGAAAAGAAGAAGGTGCTTTCTTCCCCTAATGATTTTCCACATTCTGATAATTACATGTAGGAGGAGCTTGTATTTAGGACTTTTCAGCCTCACCATGAAACAGTCACCAAATGCACAAGACTAATCAAAGGCTATTCGCACCCCTATGAAACTAAGATAGCTAACTTGTCTCAAAGGGTTTTTAGGGAGAAAGAAAACCTACTACCCTCATTATGAATCTTCTTACAACTCTTAAATACAGAACAGCAAAGATCCAAGACACTCCATCCCAAGCCTACATTTTAGCCAGTTTTCAAAGGCCAGGAGGTGCATAAAGGGTTGCAAGTTTTTTTCCCCCTAAAGAATTTCAAACAATTCACAGAAAAAAGGCATTTAGATGGATATATATTGGTAAATAGTTTTTTGGTTTTTAATTTTTTCTGCACATCGTCTCATTAGAATGAGCTGTTTGAGAGTGAGCACCTTGTTTCCCCATTTCGTTCTGTCCCCAGAATTGAACACAGTGTCCAGCACATAGTAAAATCAAATGCTTGTGTGGACAGACGTTGATGAGTTTGAAGAGATTCTCACGGCCCGAACTTCTGGCAGCAGGAGAGGGGATACTCGCTAATGCAGAAAAAGACCTTGGAGCAGAGGAGTTGGAGTCAGAACACACAAGGCAGACGGTAGCTCCCGGGGTTAAGCTGCTCAGCTTTTAACTACGCCACTCCGGCCACACGTGACAGGCTCACCCAGAGCCTCCAGCAAACGCCTCCTTTTCCCACCCCACCCCCCGGGGGCTGACCTGGGGCCTGAGCTTAACCGCCCCAGACAGCTCAAGCTTCCTGGGCAGGCTCTAGACAGAGCGCCTGGCCTGGGTTATGGAGCTGAGGGGCGCGCTCTCCTGGGCATGCTGCCTAGTGAGCCACTTGTATTTCTGTTCTGCCTTTGTTCTCCCAGTCGGGAACTCTGCCCCTGCAGCCCGAATTCAGGACCCTGCGGTCGGTAAGTGCTCTGCCATCCCTCCCTAGAGGCTGGCTATGGAAAACTGCAAGGAATGGGAGCACAGACGCTGCAGTCTTTAGATAAATCCCTGCTTTCATTTTAGCCGTAGGGGGAGGGAAAGCACTTTTGAGTTGTCTAAAGTTTGGGTGGAGAGAAAAGGCAGGAAGGAAAGACTAAAGGAGGGGGAAGGATAAAAGTATGTGGGGAGGGAGGAGGGTAAAAGCATGTTGGGGTGAGGCTGCCCCCGTCTGCAAGCCTGCTTACCCTAAGGGCGGACAGTGAGAATGTGAGGGGGCAGCAGCTGCTTTGGGATCCGCTCTCCCAAATCCAGCTCAAGGGAAACTGTCGGTCAAACAAAACTGCCTCTGGTCAGAGTGAGCACCAAACACCCGAGTGGTCAACTCTTAATCTTTCTTTGTTTTTACCTGCGCAACCACTCGTTTCATTACCTTTGGCTGCTTGGAAGCCGAGGTGCCCCTTAACCTTTCTGGAAAACGAAAGCTAGAGATTTTTCTTCCTCTTACTCTAAAGTTCCACAGGGAACAAGGAAAAATTGGTGAAAATGCACACCTCCCAGTGATCTCACATGGGGCTGGCCCGTGCACAGGCCTGCTTTCTTTCAGTCCTACTCTGGATTGCTTTAAATGCTGCTGTTTGTTATGTTATCTTAGTTTAATGACTCAAAGATCTAGATGTTTCTCCACCCCCAGCATCCCGGAACTCTTCCAAAAATGAAACTCCCCCGGAAAGACTTGGCTTTTTCGTGGAAGTAGCTGACTCTTAAGCGTGTGCAATAGTTAGCATGAAGCAAACAATTTTGTCTCTAAGCAAGTGATTATTCTTCTGTAATATGCTGGGGCACATACCTGTCTCTGGCTACCAAGCTCCTGTGACTCAGCTACTCTGTAGTTAAGACAATGGGTTTCCCAACTTCAGTGAATGACAGATGTAACAAGAAAGTGTCTCTGATGATTTCCCAAGTGTTAGCTGCTCCTTTTGTTTCATTACTGCACTGTGCTGTAAAAATGTACTGAGCAGCTGTTCCGTGCCAACCACGGTACTAGGTCCTGGGGAAGAAAACAGAATTCAGATAAGTGAGGTTCCCTTGCCCTCAGAAGTTTCTTTTCTAGACCTGGTTGAAATGACACTCTTTTTTGGAATTTAAAGATGTAAATTTTCAGCATAAAAGAGCTAATCACTCCTTGATTTTAGGGATTTAGTAGAATCATGGCTTCTAGTGAACTATGCTTGAGGTCAACAATTCCTCTTTTGGGGAAAGGAAAGATAAAGTTTACCTGGACCTGTAGGAAGTAAAGGGCAAAGGGGAAAGTGTAGCAGCCAGGTGTTTGAAAGCCTGAAGTGCTAATGCAGTATTTGAAGATTCTATATGTGTGGGACAGCGACCCAAACCCAAATTAAACTCAGAGACTTCTCAAGGTGGAAAGTAAAGGTTACCCTTATTACAATCTCGCAAGATGGCTGCCTGCTTCTTCGATATAGGTGGGGGGGGGAGAGAGAGGAGAGGAGAGGAGAGGAGAGAGAGAGAGAGAGAGAGAGAGAGAGAGAGAGAGAGAGAGAGAGAGAGAGAGAGACAGAGAGACAGACAGAGAACAGAGAGAGAGAGAGAGGAGGAGACAGACAGACTTCTTCCTATCCTCTTAACTGGGAGGTGAGGCTTACATTCCAGGCCTGAAATTCAAAGACAAGGAAAGAGGCCGGAAGCTCAGGTTGGGGGTGGGGCAGGGCTTATTCTTTCTGTTAAGTGCTTAAAAACAGGGTCTAAGTGGGGGAGGATTTTGAAAGTAATAATCAAGAATTATTTGACCCTTTGAAGAGCCTTCACTTCTGAGAGTTCATTTCTCATACTAACTTCTGAACTCATTACCTTAATTACACTGAGAAGTCTTCACTAGGACATCCCATTCATATACCATTGGGTATGATTATTACTGAAGGTGAACATTTACAGAAAAAACCAAGGCTTCAGTAAGTCTTTCTACAAATTTTGCTGTCCTAGGTTTATTTCCATACTCCCTAGTAATCTGGAGAAGTGCTGTCAGACTTTATGTAGATATGCTTGATTAATTATAATGCATATCACTATCATATATTCAGCATATATATTATTTGTCAATCACTGTTCTAGGTTAGGGGCTTACAAAAACCTGATCTCTTAGAACTTATTCCCCTAGGGAGATCAAGAATTTGTAGATAAGTCGATTTAGGATATATATAAAATATGCAGTGATTCAAGCATACTAAGAAGTGGAGAATTCCTGAAAGGCCTTTTGAAGGAGGTGGCAAATCCACTGAGCTTTGATGGGAGCCAGGAGTCCCACTGTTTGCAGGTGTGGAGGGAGAATGTTCTAGATATAGGGGACAGCCTATGCTGTGAGAGTTGAAATATCATGTATAATGAGTGGCAAGAAAACCAGTTTGGCTAGCAAGTCACCAGTTTATGAGGGGAAGCATCATGCAACCAAGCCTGGAAAGGGAAGCTAGGGACAGATTGTGAAGGGTCAAATTACAATTCATGTTTTATCCGAAAGGTAACAAGGAGCAACTGAAGCTTCATAAGCAGGGGCAATCTATGCTTGTCCATAGTCGTGAAAGTCAAACAATGTCAGGGCCATGGTTCATAGCTTCATAAGTTAGAATCAGGAGTAAACTGAGAAGTCTTTCTAGTAGAAATGCTTCATTTTACAAATGAAGAAACTCTGGACCAGAGATATCATGACTTGTCCAAGCTCACACAGGATTTGAAATCTAGTTCTCTGATTTGAAATCCAGTACGTTTTCTGTCATCAAAATTAAATTTTGGAACCAGGATTTGAACCTAAGTCTCCTGACTCTGCAGGCAGCAAGGTGGCACAGTGGGCAGAGTGGGCCTGGAGTCAAGAAGACTCATTTTTGTCAATTCAAATCTAACCTCAGACACTTACTAGCTCTGTGACCCTGGGCAAGTCAACTTAACCTTGTTTGCCTCAGTTTCCTCATCTGTAAAATGAGCTGGAGAAGGAAATGGCAAACTACGCCAGTGTCTTTGCCAAAGAAACTCCAATGGGGTTTTCAAAAAGTTGGACCAGACAATAACAATAATAATAACAATAATAATAACAATTAACATTAACAGCCCTTGACTCCAGATCATAAGGCTTCTGAATTTGAGGGGATTGATTAGTAGGGAAAAACTTGGATAGGGTCTTGTCTTTCCCCTTCAAAAATCTTTGCTGGCCCACTTTTGTCTGCTAAAATAATCTTGATACCCCCTTGCTGAGGCAGCATTATCTTATATTAATCCTCTCCATACACTCAATGGGTGGCAGAAGTGTAGTGTACTGGCCTTGGAGCCAAGTAGACCAGTATGCAAAGCCTGGCTCTGATAACATTTTCTTTTGTTTTTTTTTTTTAATTTTAAACTTAAATACAAAATGAGAAAAGAAAAAAAATGCCATGTACACAGCAGACCACATGAGAGGATTCAATATAAAACAATACATTTCCATTTCAAGAAATCCTATGTAATAAATACTACACGTTGTTTTCAAAGCTGCCCAGCTTTCTTTGCTTCCTTGTTGGTTTCTGAAAACATGTTTACTGTGTAACCAGCACTTAGCTCTAGACCTGCTTCAAAAATACTTGTTGACTGATCTTGGGCAAGTCATTTTATGAATCAGTGCCCCAGGCAACTCTAAAATGTAATTAAGTAGCAGCTTCTAATAAACTAGTAGAGGGAATTCTTCTCTGAAATCTATCCCTCCCCTCTCCTTTTATCTGTCTCTCTCTCTTCTCTTTTCTCCCTCTCTCCCTGCTGCTCTCCCACTCTCACCTTCCTCTCTTCCCTCTTTTCTCCTCCCTCCCATTTCACATCCCTACTCTGTTAATTTACTATAAATTTTTAAGCCCAGTTCAGATGTCCTCCCTGAAGTCTTCCTTGTTTCATCTCCATAGTCTGTAGTAGCCATACCGCATCTCAGCTTTGCAGTACTACTTTTCATGTTATCAAGCATTATTTTGTGTTATTGAAGCACGTGGTGTATTTCTATTAGGGTAAGTTTGGTGTGCCACCTAAACTTTGTATTCTCCCAAAATCTTTCTTCCTACCCTAATCTTAATTTTATAGTTAACCAGTTCAGTTTGACACTTTCCTCTGCTCTTGAATCCCTTGCATCTTTTTCTTATCACCAGGCGTGCCATGCCTAACCCCAGCCCTGAATTATCCCAATCAGTCTCCGCTGTTTGTATTTTGGCTGCTAAAAGGTCCTGGAAAAAGTTCACAAAACCTTGCTGACTAGATCCACTACTAATTGACATTGTATAATCTCAGTTTTTGTGCAATCACTGTTGCATGGCAATCCCCCCCTCCCCTTCATTAATGCAATCTCTATTTCGTTTCCCACAGAGATTGTTCCAAACCTTCTTCTCTTCTGTCTTCTAACCTCCCATAACACCCTTGGCACCTCCCTCTCAGCAGAGAACCTCTTCATCTGAATACTTTCACCTGTCTGAATGTCCATGCCATTGTTTTCTTTTAGTTTTTCTCTTATTTGTCTAGCCCCCTCCCAAAAAAAAATCAAACTGGGAGGGGAAGACCTTCAGGGTTGCTGACCAAAAGAGAAACTGTTACTATTTACTGAGAAAATAAGATGCCATTCTCTGTGAGTTCCTGCTTCTCCTCTCTAACAATCTCTTTGGCCTCATCACTCATTCTCTCTTCTTTTACTCTAGTTCCTGATCACTGCTCACCAACACCAAACTTTCTGCCTATTCCTTGATCTCACTCCCTCCACTTCTATGCTGCCTACGAGCATACCTGGTCTCTCTTATCTTTAAAGCAAAATGAAACAAAACCAAACAAAAAACAACCCTCACTTGATTCTACCATCCACTCAAACTATTATCCTTTATCTCTCCTTTTCACAGTCAAACTCCTAGGAAAAGGTGCTTACACTTCTTGCCTTATCTCAACTTATTACTGTTTGGTTTCCAGCCTCATTACTGAACTGAAACTGCTTTCTCCGAGTTTACCACTGGTCTCTTAATTGCTCATTCTAAAGCCTTTCTACAGTCTATATCCCTCTTGACCTCTGCTGCATTTGACACTGTTGATCACCCTCTTCATCTGAATACTTTCACCTGTCTGAATGTCCATGCCATTGTTTTCTTTTAGTTTTTCTCTTATTTGTCTAGCCCCCTCCCAAAAAAAAATCAAACTGGGAGGGGAAGACCTTCAGGGTTGCTGACCAAAAGAGAAACTGTTACTATTTACATTCACTCTGAGCAAAGAGGGCTCAAAAAATAATCATGAAGTGGTGCTTGGGCAGGGACCTACTGTTGTTCAATCTCTGAGCTCCAGAGTGAATTGGGTTTAAGACTTGGTCTTTGAGAAAGAAATCTAGCCAGTGAACTCCAGAGAAGGAGGAGAGGGAGAGTAAGACGGGACTGGGAGATGGGATGATGAGCTGAGTTACCCAGATGGAATTGGCCAACTGGGTCCTTATTCAGGCAGCTCGGACTACTCACAGGTTGTGTTTATCCTTTGCTCTTGAAGAGGACCATGACATCAGGGAGATGATGGCATGACTGCAATTGACTTAAAGGGGTCATCCCTTGACTTAGATCTTAAAAGAGGTCTATCCACTGAATGGGCATTACCTCATTCAAAGTGAGAACCTGAAAAGACCTTAGCTTAAAAGGGCCAGAGTCTTCCATTGCATCCTGGGCCATCTCCAGTCATCCTGATGAATATCTGGCCACTGGACCCAGAGGGCTCTGGAGGAGAAAGTGAGGCTGGTGACCTTGCACAGCCATCCCTCATTAAAATTGAAGTCAACTGCAAGTCATGTCATCATCTCCCTGATGTCATGGTCCTCTTCCAGAACAAAGGACAAACACGACAACAATTTGTCCAGCTACTTTTCATACTCCTTTGCTATATGATCACCAATGTATTTAACTCCAATTGTGAGTGTATCCCAAGGCTCCATCCTAATCCCTCTCCCCCCCATACTTTTCCTTAGCAACTTGAAGTCTATGCATTTAGTTATTATCTCTAAGCAGATGACTCAGATCTCTCTCTCTGTCTCTCTGTCTCTCTCTCTCTCTCTCACTCACTCAGAGCTAACAGCTTTTATAAGCAAAAAGCATTCTTTATTCTGTTGGAGGTAGGGAAACTAGACACATTTACTCTAGGACTGAGCAGACCCACAGCAGCGAGGCTGAGCCTTGATACGTATAGTAATGGCTAGACAAAGAAACAAAAAGTCAGCTGTAGCTATGACAATGCAGGCAAAGGCAAGTTTGAGTCATAGCAGGGCTTCCTGACCAGAACATGGTTACTGCAGGTACTTGTCTGAGCTCAAGACCACCTGGAGCTGGTGTGAAACAATTCTGTGATTTTGCTATGGCTGAGTTCACCCAGAGGGTGAGTACAAAGCTTTTTTGCTGTGTCTTAGCTCTGGAAGACAATGTCTTCTAATAGTAAAAAGAGAGGAATGAAAAGAGAGAAGTGGTCTTGGCATACGG